TCAAAGCACTAACCTAGTTCCGACACCCATCAATGTAAATACTTTAGAAAAAGCCCTTATGGGTCATCCAGACCCTAATTTTGTGTCACATTTATGCCAAAACCTTAGATACGGCGCGCGCATTGGCTTTCATGGGCAGCGTGCGCCACGCTCTTCCAAAAATTTACCGACGGCGCATGCGGACCCTGCAATTGTTTCATCCAATTTAGCTAAAGAGATTTCGCTAGGCCGTGTGGCTTGTCCCTTTAACGAGCCCCCATTTCCAAATTTTCAAGTTTCTCGTATCGGGTAAGTCCCTAAAAAGCATTCGGAAAAGTTCCTCACTATATTTCATCTTTCATTTCCGAAATCGGGTATGACCAGCATAAATTCTTCTATCTTACAAGACGACTTTAGTCTTCAGTACGTTACTATCGACGATGCGATCAAGGGAATTATGCGTTTTGGGCAAGGTTGCTTTCTTGCAAAAACCGATATCGAATCTGCTTTTCGGCTCATACCTATACAGTGAATATCATCAACCACAGCTGTTGATCAATAATTGACCAATCGATGCATGCGTTGAGGGAAACTTTTCGGCGAAACTTATGGTCGTAAATACACCATCCCGAGATGCGTGGCGGATTAGACTCATGTATTGCAGCAATTCCTGGGCCCGACCCGGGAACGAATGTGTCAAGACACTCATGTAGATCGTGAAAGTTTTTAGTCCACTGTTCAATATCGGTGATTTTTGCGACGGACTGAGACGACCTTTTAACCTTAATTACCGAGTTCTCAAGCGTCAAGGTAATAGGCTCGTCGTCAGAGCCATTAGAGAAGCTTTTTGGGAGAAGCTTAGCTAAGTCAAAAAACTCACCCGATTGAATTTGTCTCACGTATGCCGGGGGAACATCGTGGAATCCGTGGCTGTATGGCACTTGAGGTGACGTCGCGGTAGGAACCGAGTTTACAAACTGTGCGGCTACGGATTGCTCAGGGGCGTCATCAACGATGGCCTCATCTACGCTGTGGGTGACGGGACCAGAGTTCTGCATGGATGCCACAGCAGCTTTAGCGGTGGTTGTCGCGATCTGTTCAGCCGATTTGTCGAGGATGGCCTGAATTTGCGCTAACTGAGCGTCGTTGAAAGCGTTCGCTGTCGCTGTCTGTCGAGGATTATCCGGGGAAGTTGCAGGGACCAACTCTGACTCAGGAGAGCTCGAGGAAGCGTGACGCTGTAGTCGGTGAATCAGCGTGTTTCGCCGTCCGTTCGAAGGTAAACCTTGTTCGGCGCAACGTTCTCGAAGAGCCATTAAACTGATCTCGCTCGGTGGCTGATGTAGTTGGCGTTGTGTTGTTCGACTACGTGCGGCTCGAGGCATGATAAAAATTTATTTTTTTTTTCGATTTGACGTAAATAATGCCTTTTCATTTTGCGAACTGTGTCTTTGAGCAAAACGATTTGCCAAGTGATAAGATTGAGCTTGTGCATGCTGCTTATGCGTGACCCTCTAAAATGTTATTGGTTGTTTTTTCGCGCCAAATGGAAAAGGAGTTTAATTGGTTGGATTGAGCAGGTCAAATGATGTTTGCGTGTGATGCCATATTGCATCTACTAATGCATTGGAGCGCCGGTTTGACGCATGTCTGACATGCCGCCCGCAAACATATGTTTTTTCCCAAAGCCGAAGACACACCTTGATATGAACGTTTCCTCATTAACTTTATTTTAATATTGATATACTAAAATAGCTTTCAAGCAATTTTGAATTGCTCAAAGGGAATCTAAGTATATGTATATTTAACTAATTGGTAATATGTGAATGGCATACCTATAAATGCATTATTTATCATGTTTACTTTATGCTACAGGTTGCCATAATAATTAATTTAATTTACAAAAGTTGAAAACTAATGGCTAGTATAGACTGTATAGTTAAAGCAAATGGTTTCTGTATTCATACAATTGCTAAAGTGCACAGATATTTGTGCCTAAATTTTGTCATTAAAAGTCTGTATTTATTTTTAATTGCAAACTTTACCTGTGAAATGCAACCTTTTTTTCATTGCTGCCTGGATTTTTTCGTTTCTTTTTCACTGATTTTTGCTTACTTTCACAGCATGAAATTACACAAGAAATGGGCATGTTTATTTTTCATAACCATGTCGAAAAACAGCTATTTTTCACTGCAATTTTAAAATATTATCGTAAATATTTCGCTTTGTTTACACTCTGGATCTCTAAAAAAGGATTGGGTCGAGTCAAATTTAGTATGGTTTTTTATTTTTCCCCAAAAATAACCACATAAAGACCTTTTCCGTCCGACAGCATCAATTTCCAAGCTTGAAATTTATGTCAAATAAAGTTGGTAGTGATTTACGTCCATTTAGGGCGGAAACTTTCGAGGTAACAATCCCGTATCGTAAATATTGCGTAAGTTTAAACGCGCCGAAAAAAGTTAAACTTTCAACAGGAATAAAATAATCCCTAAAATTCATTTCCTGCCTAGAAAGTGTTTTTTTACTAAAGACCAGATAAGGTTGAAGCTTTCTAGACTTTATTTAATTTCGATTGTTAGTTTAAGGTATGAGAAATCATGCAACGAAAAGGGGGAGGGATTTCGACCCGTGACGTGCAATGGCGGCCATCAGTCTGGCTTCAAGATGGCCACCCGTTCCGCGTGTTCTAAATCACATATAATGAGAATTCTAAGTTTTAGAACATCGGATATATGTGACATGGGATGATCATCTGAGCCATCTAACACGTTCGCTGTTTGCTGTACTGGGAACGAGCTATTTGTTATTATTGCGTATTATAAATTCTAAATAGAAGTTCGCCAAAATGGCGGATTCTTGCAAGCGTTTTAAGGCATGCAAAATTCGCGTTAATACGCAGTCAACAAAGGGAAAAAAAACTACAAGACATGTGCGTTTAAATTCAAAGAACTATTGCAAGATTTCTCAGGAGTCAAGTTCGAGTAAGCAGAAGTCTTTCACAACGGGAATGGAAGAAGAACATGTTGATGGTTCAAATATCGACGATATAAATAGCAGCCATGAAAGTGATGACCAAGCTTTTTCTAGTCTTTCACGATATCACTTGCGCCGGGTAAAAGAGTATCACAGTTGGGAAGATGTGAGGGGGTCTCTTTTGCAAGCACGCATTGAGGAAGAAGCTTTTTGTGACGAAAGTATAATGTGCATCGAGTGCCATAACAACTTCGCTGTTTGTCGCTGCGTGGATTGTGGTCCTAGACAGTTGTTTTGCATCAACTGCGCGAAAACTATCCACGAACAACGCAACGTCTTTCACCTACTTGAAATTTTCAAGGTGCGTGTGATGTTTTTGGCGTAAAATATAACATATTTCAATATCTTTTATATGTATATTACATATTCAGAACTGACCCTACCCCAGACCCAACTGTTTAAAAATTAATGTTGCTTATTTTCTCAGGATGGTTGTTTTGTTCCTTTATTTGTTAATCATGGTGTTTTGACTCTTGATCACCAAAGAAATTGTCCAACTGCACAAGCACAAAACATTATTTGTATTGATGAAAAAGGTGGGTTTATTGGTACTGTGGATTTGATAACTGTATTCAAGTTTGTTTTCAGTCCTAAAATAATTGTGAGAAAAGTTCTGTAAGTTTCTCCTTTGGTGCATTTTTATTAGGGCATCAACACTTGAAATGGATCAACTTTTGTAACTGTGAAGATGCTGCAGTTACACTTAGCTTGTAAAGTTCCAATTATGGCCAGGATCAGCTGTTAGACCTCAGGTTGCATTTCATTTTAAGTTGGTTACACTTGCTGAGACACTTCTATTGGAATGCCATGTATCGTTAAAGAAATTTTGTGATGTGTTGGGCCTCAATAAGTCCAATATGCTTCCTGTTTGGGTATGTTATTTTGTTATACATTTGAAGCTGAGTAATTCCATGCTATTTCAACATCATTCAGAACAAATTCTTGACACCTAACCTTTCCAAATACTTTATGTTTATATATTTTCTAAATAGACAATTCTTGATTAAAATATAATAATAATATAGCATACTGCATACCAAGTATAAATTATTATATACTGTGTAATATTTATCTGTGTGAAAATGACATGGGATTAACTATATAAACTCTAAATGCTCTAAATGACAATAACTTGACTGTTTTATTAACACTTTGATGCTTGGAATCTCCATTGGACAAGTAAAATCATATAGGGTTAGCCAGAGTAAAATACTAGAGTCATGCCATGGGCATTAAATAGATAAAGAAAATAACTATAATTTATTACATATTATTGATTCCAGCTTTAATGAGATATTTCAATTTGTTTGATATATAAGACATTAAATTATATTTGCCTACTAATTATGATGTTAGTTTGGTTGCCAGCTAACTAGTATACAGTAACTATAAAGTCTACAGAGTGCAGATACTCATGTTCCGAGCGAAGTTTAAAATTTCATAATTAGTGGACGTGCAAATATACACTTATTTACATATCACACAAATTGGAATGTCTCGTTAGCAAACCATGAAATGAAGTGAGAAACTAGAAAATAAGTTATATATACATGTGAAACATATTAAAGATTTCTTTTGTGTTATAAAATAATCAATGTTATGTCATATATGGTACACTTTAATTATATACCATAGATAAATAAATTTATTCATACATTATATATTTTTTTTGGTTTTCTAAGGTTAAGAATCTCTATAAAATATTGAATGATGATTCTTTTGATGAATTTAGGTAGGGGCGTATTTTGGTTAACTGCATGACACAGTACTGTTCTTGTCAAATATTTTATTTTATTGTTTTTGCAACTTTTTATGATAAATTTTAAACTTCAATTCTATATATATATATATATATTTATAATATATATATATATATATATATTATATAATATATATATATATATATATATATATATATTTACAATACCAACAATAATATTTTATTTATGTAGATATCACCAAATTTGTTCAAAACAATAAAACAATTTGTCTTGCAACAAAAACCTGACAATGTTTGCCCGTTATGTCCTTTGCAGGTATAGAACTCCACAGGTATTTTTTTTTTATGTCACATTCTCCTTTTTGTATTTAACATATTGTGATAATTTTGTAGAGTGAAACTGATACTGACAAGAATGTTGCCATTGAGTGCATGGATGGATGTTTTGGGCTTGTGAGAAAAAAGTCTGCTGGTGCGAATCTTTTACCTGCCAGACACAATGGTACATTTTTTGCCAATCAGGATGATGTCGATAGCTTTGTTGATGACAACTCAAAGAAGGCAAAGCAAGCCCCTACTGTAAGTGGTTACTGGTGATTGTACTGTAAAAAGTAGTTTTGTTGAATATTATCATTATTATAAAAGAATCCACTGTTTTTCCTAGGATTGCAATGAATTTAAATCTGGTGAGGTTAGTAACATGTTACGATCCAAAGGAAGAAATAAGCTTTTTGACGAGAAGGGAGTGTTTGGTAGAGTATGCAGACATGAATACCCAAGGGGATTTATGAGTATCAAACATGGAGAAAGGTGAGCAAACAGTCATCAAATTAAAGTGCAAGTGTACATGTTGATAGTAATTTAGTGCAACATACTGTATATTTTAGGATAGCATATTCAGTGTATGAGGTTAAAAAGCTTCTGTGTCATTATGATGAGGATACTGATGTTAAAATAATGTATGACATTGCATGTACTTTGTCTGCCCACCTAAAGGTAAGGTATAGGCATAGCTGCCTGATTACAGTTTAAATTCTAAGAAGAAGTAAAGTTCTGTCATTTGGAGATGTAATCTCATGTGCAATTTTACATGTATTGAATATTATTATATATGAATTTCAATATCCATTTGCATATATATTTTATTTTTGATAGAAAAACGAAGAGCATACCATTCTTGGACGCATTGACTTGGCAATTCCTGTTTTCCATGCATATGGACATAAATCTTCTTGCCAGGTCAATATATGGTTTAGAAGTTGTCGGTTTTGTTATCAAAAATTTAATTGTCATTCTTAGGTGCAGTAATGCAGTATGTCGCATGTTGTTATTTATCTCAGAATTTTCCCGAAATGTAGGTTGCTTTTGGTCCTAGAAGAAAGGAGGGATTTGGCCTTACTGACGGTGAAGGAATTGAAAGACTTTGGTCTTACCTCAGAGGATTTTCATCAATGACAAAGGAAATGACAGCTGGTCGAAGGGTTGACGTATTAACAGATGCGCTTCTTCACCATGCAAGACATTGTCTTCTACAGTTTGGCTAGTTGAATATTTCTGCCTTGGTGGATTTATGCCACCAATATCATTACAGTATTGGTAATTTTTTTGCGACTATATATTTGTAATTCAATGCTTGATTTTTCCCCACAGGTCCGGCATTGTTGTCTAAAATGCAAAAAACAAAGAAACTAATGGAAAACTCAGTAGTACAGTTGGAGGAGATCTTTTCAGATTTAAAAGGTAGAACATCTTATCTAACATTTGATAGTATTAAACAGTTATTGGATGAGGCTTTTGTATATGCGGAAAATTTCAATGTAAGTGTTAGTATCATAGTGCTGTCATAGGTCGAATTACGTTATAATAGAAAAGTCTTTCAATTTCAGTTTCCTATGGTACTGATGTAATTAACTCTTGGATGAAAGCAGAAGAGAATATGTTGTTAATGAGAGGCAGTATGTACCAATTATAACGTAAGGAAATACCGTGTTCATTTGTAACAAGATGTGTAATATTATCATAACTGTTATGTTGTAGAGAGAAAACCATCGCCCATGTCGTGGGAGGCTAAATACGTACAGAACTTAGTTTTCTTGCAGGAACTGAGGTTAGACTGATAATGATATATTTTGTGCATTTCCTGGCTGATTGTTCATTTATTTTTAATTAACAAAATATTTTCTAATACTTATAATGGTATGCTACAGACAAGGCATTGCTTCAACAGAAGCTGAAAATCATGAAACCATAAACGAGCTTGTAAAGAGGAAGAAAGCGTAAGTATTGGAACTAGCGACCGAATAGAATTGTTTTTGGTGTTAAAAGTCATATATACCTTTATGTAACTTCAGGATTTTAAAAATTGTCATGGGAATTGAAAAAAGCTACAAGGTTCACCCAAGATGGAGAATGGGCGAGGAGAAATTCAACGTGGCAGCATTGTCTGTTCTTCGGGATAGGCGAAACCAAGCATTAGAAAAATTATACTCACTTGCAGTCGAACGTATGTTCTTATTAAATTTGAAGCGAAAATATGCAGGTATTTTTTTTTTGCTATAACTCAAATTGTGATCGTTTGATGATCCAAGAATTATGCTTGGTTGTTTAGTTTAGGTTGGCACCATATAATTATCAATTAAGCGGACTAGTGATTCAATATAAACTGCCTTTTATTCAAAATGAAGGCAAAACAAAATAATGTAAACATTAAAAAGGCTTGCGTCGCGTAGACGCGTACGACCCCTTTAGTAGTCATATGTTATAATGGAAGTTGAAGTTCGTATGCTAATACTGCAATGGTAAAACTGTTTTAAGTTTTCAACATGTTTATTCACGGTGTGCCGTATCCTATGAATCGACATTACTTTCATTTGTAATGATGAGCTTTAATTTAAAATGGGAATTCCCACTCTAAGTTTGACATGACTCATTCGTTTGTGTTTTTTTATCGATTAATAGACGGCCAAGCAATTGCAGAGAAAGTTTCTAAGCAGATAACACAAAGGACGAATTCTGCTAAAGTAGTTGTTGAAAAGTACAACGCTAGCCTTGCTGCTTGGAAAGACAATGTAACTGGGTTGCCAGAAGAGCTAGAGTTTGACAAGGTAAAAGATCCAGAATCCGACCTATATAAGGATTTCAGAGAAAGCACTTTGAGTGAGGATCAAGTTCCATATTCTGTGAAGAAAAGCGCAATAGATTTGCATAATTTCATCGAAAGATGCAAGGAGGAAACAAGTTATTTGAAAACTGAAATGTGTAGGCTTGTTACGTATCACCAAACCCAAAAGTCAAGTTTTTTAGAATGGCTGAAGGACAACAATGACTCGTCATCAACCGTACTCATTCGAGGAATTCGGTGCATACTTCAAAGAAAGATTCTGGAAGAGGAAAACAAACTAATTGTTCTTGGTGCAACGTTTGGCAATCACCTACCAGATAATGTATCATCGTCCATTCCAAAAATCGAATGGAGTCATGAAAGCACCATGCCCTCTACCAAACACGTTTTCGAGAACTTGGATCAACTAGATGACCAAAGGGAACAGAGTGAAGAACAGGACGATGAGATATTGTCAATTTTAGACAGTTCAGATGACGAGGTTGAAGATGAATCTGAAATGGATTTCTAAATAAATGCAAAGCTCTCTGTATCATTTTGCATGATGTTTGATGTACATAATAGGTTTTTTAATTATATATCTTGTCTATACAATCTGATTTATTTTTAGTGCACAAGCATAGTCTCCGTCTAATGTGTGGAAACATGCATGTTTTAATTTATTAAAAGAAAAATTAAAAAATTATATAACAACAAATATTAAATTAAATTATTAAAACAATTGAAATAATTTGTCCCTCGCATATTACGCTTTAGTATAAATTTCCAGGTGACTATTGATTTTTCCTGCATCCTCATTGCTCAAAATTCACTGTGTTTGAAGTGATAGTCTCTTGTTGGTGAATATAGCTCTGTTGTTTTTTTAAATAAAAAGAAATTTGAATAATATTCTTGTATGTTTGCTTGGTGACATCAATAATTAAATTAGCTTGTGTAAGTGCACCACCTAAGTATTTTTAAAATACAGCAAGTTTAATGCAGTGTTAAATACTTACGTGGGGTACCTACAAGTTAAATTAATTAAGAAATTTGAAGTAATAATTTTCTTGTATGATTGCATGGCGACTTTAGTAATTATAATAACTTGTAGGTACACCACGTAAGTATTAAATACTGCAAAGCTTTCGGTCCGTTAACCGTCAAATACTTGTCTAGGGCGCGCGCATTAATTAGAACTTAATTAAATGAAACCGTTTAATTAATAGCGCGAGCAAACTAATCACGACTAACATGATATTTAAGTGACGCGCAAACGTGTATTCAAGTAATTGCACTGATGAAGGTCCGGGTTAACGGACCGAAAGCTTTGCAGTATTTAATACTTACGTGGTGTACCTACAAGTTATTATAATTAAATTTGAAGTAATTATTATGTTGATTCAACTGTGTATCATTTTTGGTGATAAGAATAGATGTGCAAAGTTTCAAACAATAATTACTTCGTGAAGTTTGAGTTCAATCACGCATGATCTGCTCTGACACCCTATAATTGCACCTAAGTTAGAAAAGCTAAGCCTATTTTTTTCATCGCGCACTTCCATTCTCTCAATTGATCTGAAATTTTAACTGTGTATAATTTTTTGTGATACAAATAGTTGTGCAAAGTTTCAAGCAGTAATTCCTTCGTGAAGTTATAATTCAAGCACGCATGATCTGCTCTGACACCCTATATTAATTACACCCCTAAGTTAGAAAAGCTGAGCCTATTCTTTCATCGCGCACTTCCATTCTCTCAATTGAGCTGAAATTTTAACTGTGCAGAATTTTTTGTGATACAAATAGTTGTGCAAAGTTTCAAGCAGTAATTCCTTCGTGAAGTTTGAATTCAATCACGCATGATCTGCTCTGACACCCTATAATTACACTTAAGTTAGAAAAGCTAAGCCTATTTTTTCATCGTACACTTCCAATCTCTCAATTGATCTGAAATTTTAACTGTGTATCATCTTCTGTGATACGAATAATTGTGCAAAGTTTCAAACAGTAATTCCTTCGTGAAGTTATAATTCAAGCACGCATGATCTGCTCTGACACCCTATATTAATTACACCCCTAAGTTAGAAAAGCTGAGCCTATTCTTTCATCGCGCACTTCCATTCTCTCAATTGAGCTGAAATTTTAACTGTTCAGAATTTTTTGTGATACAAATAGTTGTGCAAAGTTTCAAGCAGTAATTCCTTCGTGAAGTTTGAATTCAATCACGCATGATCTGCTCTGACACCCTATAATTACACTTAAGTTAGAAAAGCTAAGCCTATTTTTTCATCGTACACTTCCAATCTCTCAATTGATCTGAAATTTTAACTGTGTATCATCTTCTGTGATACGAATAATTGTGCAAAGTTTCAAACAGTAATTCCTTCGTGAAGTTATAATTCAAGCACGCATGATCTGCTCTGACACCCTATATTAATTACACCCCTAAGTTAGAAAAGCTGAGCCTATTCTTTCATCGCGCACTTCCATTCTCTCAATTGAGCTGAAATTTTAACTGTGCAGAATTTTTTGTGATACAAATAGTTGTGCAAAGTTTCAAGCAGTAATTCCTTCGTGAAGTTTGAATTCAATCACGCATGATCTGCTCTGACACCCTATAATTACACTAAGTTAGAAAAGCTAAGCCTATTTTTCATCGTACACTTCCAATCTCTCAATTGATCTGAAATTTTAACTGTGTATCATCTTTTGTGATACGAATAATTGTGCAAAGTTTCAAGCAGTAATTCCTTCGTGAAGTTTGAATTCAATCACGCATGATCTGCTCTGACACCCTATATTAATTACACCCCTAAGTTAGAAAAGCTGAGCCTATTCTTTCATCGCGCACTTCCATTCTCTCAATTGAGCTGAAATTTTAACTGTGCAGAATTTTTTGTGATACGAATAATTGTGCAAAGTTTCAAGCAGTAATTCCTTCGTGAAGTTAGAATTCAAGCACGCATGATCTGCTCTGACACCCTATATTAATTACACCCCTAAGTTAGAAAAGCTGAGCCTATTCTTTCATCGCCTACTTCCAATCGCTCAATTGAGCTGAAATTTTAACTGTGTAGAATTTTTGTGATACAAATAGTTGTGCAAAGTTTCAAGCAGTAATTCCTTCGTGAAGTTTGAATTCAATTACGCATGATCTGCTCTGACACCTTATAATTACACCTAAGTTAGAAAAGCTAAGCCTATTTTTTCATCGTACACTTCCAATCTCTCAATTGATCTGAAATTTTAACTCTCTACAGTAATTGAACATCATTATGAGATGGTTTTGCACAAATAGAGAACTAAAGCAAAGAACTGTGAGTTATTGAGAAATTCATGATGATTGGACGTGAACTAGAAGAGACTTACGCCTGTATTCAAAAAGCTCACTCACACTCATACTCATCGAGTGTGACATATAAATTTCGTTAATGCTGATCAATGAGAAAGTTTTTTTCTGAACAGATGGAAAGATATAAGGTAAATCACTGAAAATCAAGCCCCTGTTCGGCTGGAAATACCGCCATTGAAACGTTATGAGAAGATTAAGATCTCCCACTCAATGAGTTTGAGTGTTAGTGAGCTTTTAGAATACAGGCGGGCAGTTCCTGGGTAAGAACCTATTTTAGATGGATATAAACATCGTAGTGTAACATGAGATCTGTTCTAATTTGAAACTAAAGGGGCCTTTTCAAACCATGCATGTACACCTTTCATAGTTGGTAACGGAAAATGCGACTACCAGGATTCCATTAGACTGCAGTTGTTGGTTTGGTCCGGTTTGCACATAAATTAATACATTCTAGCAGCCGAAAGAAATAGCGGGCAATGTGATAGAATTTTTGTCGGAAACTTTTTGAGGTAACAGCTTTCAAATAGATAAGGCAAAATAATTTGATGACTTCACATTTCAAAAATACGCTCTATTGCAGGTGAACTTTTAATTAAATGCATGTCATTATGCATGTGTCCAGATGACTGATGATGACAAGGTCAAGGTGCGTTGACGAATCATTACAAACACAAATGCAAATGTAACGTAATAAGCCTTTAATAGAGTGAATGAACGCAGTCAGATATAGTTTCAATGCAACAATAACTATTAAAACTTATTCACACATATCCATAATTCCAAACACGCAATGATCATGGAATGATTGGCACACAACAACTTGACTCCTTCTCTTTAGAACGATCTTTCGTCTGAGAAGAATTGGTTCAGATGAACCATTTTCTTGGACGCTAATGATGTTAATGGCATTGATTGACATTTTCTTATTTGAAAATATTAACTCATACTGCCATTGCTCTTTTGTCTGATTCAACCAGTAGCCCCAAACTTCGGCATTTGGTTCCAGACTTAGCAAATTGGATATTTTTCCAGGATAATAGAACAGCCAGTACGGTTTATCCGACTCGGTATAGACTGGTATTATGTAACCCTCATGGTTACAAGCACTTTCATAGTTTCCTTTCAGGGAATTCCAGCCATCTTCAGTGAAGTACTTTCGAAACCTGGTAGTGAGATGTTGAAATTCTTGTTCGGTAATTTGCAAATCCTTAACCTCCAAATCTTTTTCTTCTATTGAATACTTGCCAGAAACGACTTCAGGTATCAGTTCCTTCTCAATAATTTTTAGAAAGCAAGTTCTGAATGTCTGATGGTACAGATGTACTAGCCAGTGGGTCATGGGTTAGTTTTGAATCGTTTATGTTTCGTTCTCGTGTGATGTGAAAGATAATTTCTTCCGCATTCATCATTACTTTCTTTATCTGATCACTTCCATAATTGAGCGGCTTCTTAAAAATAATTCCTTCAGGCAGTCCAGTAACTGTAAAACCACCTTTTTTGTAAGGAACTCTACTGCCAGGAATCCCACATGCTTCACCTAAAGTAAAATAAGAGACGGAAGGTTTTGTAAGTCTTTCCGATTATTGCAATCTGTTAACAAGTTGATGATGTACATGTATGTACCTGACAGATTTACCTGTATAATGTAACCGACAGGTTAAATTACATCATAAATTTACAAAAGGCTATTTTTACAATTAAAAAATATTAATCTATCATTATATAAAGTTATTAAAAGTGTAAAAAGTTCAGAAACTACCAAAGTCAAATAGGCCTAGAACTTCAAATCGATTGTTTACAGTTTTCCTTAAAATAATTATTTTGTATAGTTTTTATTTCTAGTTTATTTAATTCTTCCATAGTTTCTTTCTACTTCCAATTATGTAACTAATGTCTTGTTATTGTACCGCAATCATTCCATATAATGGATATTAATAATACCAATTCTACCAATGTACTTTCAACCATTGGATAGTTCATGTGATGTAAATTCAAAGTGTGTGAGTTATTTTGCAGTGAAAGAAATCATCACAATATAATGTACAATCATTGAAAAATTTCGCTGTAATGTTCAACAAAAGTGCTTGTAATTTACAGTATATAAAATAACTTTGCCGACAGTATTGCTGCTCAAATAACCCCCCTCCCCCAAATCAATGTTGAATTGTTATGTTGAAGCCTTAGCGCATCTTGCCTGCGATATACTCTAGCATTTTCATCCAGGCAACATTGATTTGGAAGTGTTGGTGAGGGAGGTGTGTGGGAAGGGTGTGGTTGAGGGAGGGGGGGGGGGCGACGGCTCGTCACAATATTTTTGTCAATGATTGTATTTACTACTCCATTATGACCAAACAAAAGTCCCTTAAACATATAAATTATAAATTAGCTATATTTTAGTTCATCAATACAAAATAAATAATTAAAAGCCATGGTAAGATATCAATCTACAAGCAGTACACACGTGTAGGCAATCCTCTCTCACACAAGCGATCATTATTTTGGAAATAAGTGTGGTTTATACAAAACACTTACTATATTTCTCGTTGAACAGATTCTGGACATCGGCACGGGTATGTTGTTTGTCTTCCGCCGGGCGATCTGTGGAATTAATGTTGACTACTTTACTACATGTACACTACAACAACTATGACACCAACAATACAGTATCAACAAAAGTAGTACAAACAAAACACACTGGAAACTCCAGGTAATATAGTCAATCAATTTTCCAAATGCTCCATTGCATTGTATTTAAAATTGTAAGGTACAAACTTAATAAATTACCGTAAATTACCGTATATTACTGGGCTTCTACATGTCAACTTTTAATAAAGTAGGAATTTGAATGTTTCAACATTTTAATAAAATTGAAAATTGATTATTATGTATAAAATTGAATTTCTGAATTGGTAAAACGCCTATTTTGTTTGGAGTCACTATTGTCTGATAGGCATAAGCTAAATTAATCTACAGTACATTTTAATAAATTACCAAAGAATTCCATGAACTTTATTGCCACTGCTTCGTTTTGCATGAGAAACTGAACACCTTTGTTTGAACCATGCTGATTGATGTTCCCACTTGGTTCTATCATCACAACAGCCACCTCGCATCCCAGGTTTTCCAGATAAGAAATCTTTAAAAAAAAGTCTTCATAAATTGAATTGAAATTTACCACTTGGGTCTCCTCACCATCTTGAGAAGCAATGCAAGCAGTGAATTAATTGACCATATTCCTTATTCTTCATCTACTTTACATACCTCTTTCATGAGATTTTTTTTTGTCTTGGCAATGTGTTTTCGTCTTTCGTCTTCTCCCAGTTCTAGTGGACGTATTCTGTCAACCTGCTTGGCTTTGCTCTTCCAATCATTCTTTTCTTCAGCACTAAGAGCTTGCCATTGTGACGAAACAAATCTCATTTTCTCCGATTTTGAATCAATAGCCTTGCACAAGTCTATAACATAATGCAGTTAAACATATACATTAACTTCATTGTTATTTTAAACAGATGCAGGGGACACATACATAAATTAGAGGTATAAAACAGATTATACTTAGAATTGCAGCCTGACTCCTTGTATGGCAGATAAAACAGCCAGTTGACTGCTAAATTTTGGTAAGCAAAACTCAATAACAAATAAAATTATGTTCTGTGAGTATCATATTAAATAAAAGTGTTTGAACTTTGGCATATACTAGTCTTGTTATTCCAGGAAATTTGTCATATTTTTTATGTGATGGAGTGTATAATTTGTTTATACAAAAGCCAGTGGCATGGGTTCAAATTCTAGCCGAACATTAAAAGTTTGAGAATCGTTGAGGAAGGTACTCCAACTGATTGCAAAAAGCTGTAAATGTTTAAGCCTCCATGTCCCCTCCAGGGGTTAATGAAAAATTGCAGACAAAGTCACAGAAAACTATGAGTAGGAATATGCACATATGGTTCTTGTTCTGCTGAATAATAAATAACATTTATGACATTTATTCAAGAATCATTCTATATTTCAAGGTACCATATTTTCTCAATTTAGCCCCCAGGGGCCTATATTACATACCTTAACTACCTACTATATCTAAAGTGTGGGGCTATGTGTTACCAAAACCATTAGAGGAATTTGAAGAGTCCTTTCTGGAATTTGAAAGTCAGAAAGATATTTTTCATATCAGGCAACAGTGAAAGAATGCAATACAGAACAAATTGCAATATAACATGAATTTTTGTAATTGAGCCAAGGATAGTGATTTACAGAACAGCCAATTTTCAATCACTTTCCACAAACATTTGATGCAAAGTGTGAACATGCACAAGTCAAATTCAGAAACCTTTTGTAACTGAAGGCTCTAATAATTTGTACTAGTGATTCAATCAAGTGCAAGTGATTTTAAACTGCATTTCTTCATTGTAAACATCATAATAGCATGAATGATTTTAGTACTATACAACTGTCTTTGTAACTTCTGGTCTGGATAAGACACTCTTAGATTTCACTGGTAAATACTGGTAGATGTTGTACTGTAGGGCTTTAAGGCTTATATCTTTCTGATGGTTTCTGAGAGGGCAGGCCCAAAAAATAGGCACCAGTCACTGTTTATTGACAGATAAAATTTTGCAGGTTCACTGGCAGATTCACTCACTTACTGGACATACTTGTGATCAGAGTAAAAAAGCAAAAACAATTGATTAAAAAGCTATGTAGTAGAAACAATATTTTTCATATATAAGATGTATTAGACTAGCTGGGTACCTACAATAATGCAATTAATGACATTTAACAAAAAGCAACAAGCTGTTATTTTATAACAACAGTAATTTGAATTTTATAACAACAGTATTTTGTAATAACTTAAAAATGTTAACAGTTGATCAAAGCATTATCAAAGCATTCACGACTGGTAACTTTTATACATAGTTAATCAGACATAATGGAATAACGACCAACATTATTTTGAGGCCTGTGAGGGGAGGGTTGCTAGAGGGCAGAAACTGCTGGAGGAGCGTTAAATAAAGGATGGATAAGGGTATATGACATTTTTGCTGATGATAAGGAAGCATTTAATATTTACCTGAACTTAGCATGCTTGATGAAAATATGTTGTAGCCAGATGCTACTCTTTTAAGTGGAGGACCTATTCTTAGTACATTGTCATCTGAATCTTCATGCTTGTTTTCTTCTGTCCTACTTTCACCTAGCTTTCTCTTCCTTTTTTCATTTCCAATCCATTTCTACACAAAATTTCAGTATCAACTGTGAAATACAGTTTACAACTTTACACCTACCCAGGTGGTACTATATGTATAATACTCGGAAATTTAAAAACGCCAAAGATAAAGTATCTGACTCTTGGTTCACATAATACTGACAACAGTGACAGTCCTTATAAACTTTATAAAGCCTTTATTAGTTTATAAACTTTCAGTCGCCATTTTGAAAATGCAAATTATTTATTTAGACGTCAAAATCGCAAATGTCTAATAACAATTTTGGCTCATATACATACTTTGAACTTCATGTCAAGTTCCAATCAATACAAGGCATCCTATATTTATATATTTTAAGGTATTTTGGAAGTACATACCTTTACTTGGTCGTAGGTTGCCCCAGCTTGTTCAGCAGCTCTCAGTATTATTTCCTGCATATGTTTTGCCGTCGTGTTCATTCCATTGTCATAAAACGCCCTAAGAATGATCTTTTGATCATCCGTCAAATTCTTGTAGCTTCTAAAATTAGTGGCCATCAGCAATATTTAGAAATTTTGACGAGTCCAAGAGGTAAGCGCAATATACAGTGGGCAAGAATGCGCGTGAGAATGTATACACGCTCGTATATGCATGCTAATTGTGCGCTTACAAAATAACTCGTTCCCAGTACAGCAAACAGCGAACGCGTTAGATGGCTCAGATGATCATCCCATGTCACATATATCCGATGTTCTAAAACTTAGAATTCTCAATATATGTGATTTAGAACACGCGGAACGGGTGAGATGGCGGCGGAGTTATCGTTCCAGTTGTATTGAGTTCACTGGAACGTCCATGACATTTGGGCGACTTTGGATTCCGCTATGTTCTCCCGGGTTCCGGGTGTAATTCCTAATCTCCGGGCGGAATTAGTACCCTCGCACGGTGCTCTGCACCGGCTCGGGAATAATTTTGTTTTACCTGAGCGCAATCTCCTGTCCGAAGGAATACTTTCATGGAGTTGGTAAGAGTAATTTAACGCAGAACTTTTCTCGCTCGTATGAAGCTCGAGATCTAAGGATGGTTCACGGTGTGTCTAGAAACACTTTCTCGCGTGATTCAAATAAGAGACATGAGAGGCGCAGACGTAAAGATGTCGAATTTTGTCAACCTATAACAATAATCACTACATGCGGTTTTACAATTAATCTTATCGTTATCATAATAGCCAATAGGAATACATCAGAAATGTTCACTTCAGCAGCTCCGAAATCCCTGTAATGTTAGAATTCCTACGTCATTATATTGTTTATTGTTCAAAAATATTACATCCTGATGCCTATATAAGCTATAACACGTCATTCGTCGTCAGTTATTGCCGATAGCGATCACCGATGATTGCGCGATATGCGCGAGAACTAGCTACGCCTATAAATATCAAAGACGATTAAATTTCGGAGATTATTTAATATGTATTTTTTATATTAATAGATAATTTACAGCAGAAAAAATTTAGCTTCGTAGGCCATAATTACGACGGTATGGAGGACTCGAAATGACGCTGCAGAAATTGGTGTTTAATTACGACGTTTCAATTGACCAGAAAATCTAATCGCTGCATGGTTCACAATTGTGCATTTCTATACCGCTATGAAAGAGAAACCTTTTGAATATTTTAAAAAAGTTCGATTTTTCTTCATAATACGCATTCTGCAGACTGCAATCTTTTGACAGCTAATCATACACATGTGATCGCTGTGAAATGGTTTAAGTATACACAAGGTTATTAATTCAGACGATTCGTTTTTACTGTGTGCAAGCTTCAAACCTTTTGTGCAAGACATAATTTATTTTCTTGAATATTTGAAAATCCTTTTCTCACCAAGTTTAAAGTCTAACGTCTGTATTACCGTAAATCGTTCCACCAAATCCGATCGAAATAATTTTCTGATTGACCAGCATTAACAAAATTTATTGGCGTAAGTATTTAGAATTACGGCTAAATCTATAGCAAAATCCGATGTGACACTCCTAATAGAAAACATTATTATACCAATTTAAGAGCAATTTATGACCCAATCGTTGATATGATTAGTAATAAAAGTTTAATAATAATAATTATTATAATATTAATAAGTCTTAATTGCACATGGGTTCACAATTCACAGAAGGCAATTTTTTTCGAATTAGCAGCATATATACGTATTGACTCAGCAATGAGTATAAAGGGAAAGGTCCTCGCACAGTTTTATTTGTACTATTTTGTACTATTGCATGATTCATACTGGATTGCGCTTAGTTAACAGCTATTGGGCTGACAAGCTGGACAGGACCCTTTATAAATTTAGTAGATCTGTCGAAATATTCACTTTTCTCAATGAAAAGAATTAATATTTAAGAATTAAAAAACGAGTCGCGTGCCTTTATGGTGTAATAATGCACGATGGGGGGATGTTGAGAGAATACGAGAGAAGCTTGTAAAACACGAGGCGTAGCCGAGTATAATAGCCGAATATAAGAAGAAATTATAGGGCAACAACAAAATTTATTTATTTGATCAATAATGAAATTCTCCTTACATGTTATTTAAGATGTTGCTTAGCAACAAAAACTTCAAAAGCCAGAAGCGTGCATTATGGCCTCACAATGCACGCGCGGTAGCCAATCAAATTGCTCATTATATCATACTTATATTATAAAGGCACATAAAGCAAAGCCTGGTTTAAAATTTAACCAGAGAGGTGCTGAAATCACCTAACGCTCGCCTGCACTGTTTGTCTAGAATAAGGCTAAACTCTGTATGAAAGGTATCTGTATGAAGCACAAATTACCGATCTTTTTATTACAAATTACAAGGCTAAAATCCGCGTTGGAAGGTAATATTAAGCACAAACTTCAGATATTAGTTGTGACCTCAGAATTACTGGCCAAAACTGGCCTCGGAATTACATTAGTTTTATTTGTGACCAATATTTCTTCCGTTTCTCGCAATCCGCGCACGTGATATCAACAGGTAAGTTAACGGACCAGGCAAAAGTCCCTGCTTTAAGACGGGCGCACACACAACGATTTTACGGTAGTTGGTCCATTCAGGTTTAGACATATAGGCAGCCCTTGCCCAGACATGTTTTCCTTCTCGCGGCGCACGCGCCTCGCGCGTGTATAGATCGCCAGTCGCCACATTTTGATGAAAACATCCATATAGACAATCTAGACAGGAATCGGCAGACTAAAATCTTCGTGTGTGCGCCTAGCTTTATGAAATAAACAAGATTGGATTTTTATATCTACACAAAAAAGGATTATGCATCAAACAACGAAAAAGTATGTACATAAATCTTATAGGTATTTTAAAGGTCCTGTCTACAATTTAACTGGCTTTAATAATATATTTGCATGTGTTTCTACATAAATAATATGCAAATATATGTCACATGCATTGCATTGCAAACTTTAACGTTGCACTATGTTTTATATATTTTCACTCCCTAAATGATTTCTATATTAAGCGATTGAATTTTGATACGGCATGTCACAACACAATCTCATAATTTATAATTGTACGTGTACAATACAAACAAATGGACGTAGCATACAGGTGAAAATATTTAAAGGTTTCTCATTTAGCTTAGGGTTGTACAAATAGTTTCGTTAAATATGATTCAGCTACAACTTTGAACTAAAAAAAACAGGGCTACACAATAGCCCTGAAAATCGTAATGAGCGTGATAACTCTGGATAACTCTAACATTGACCTTATCATATGATGCTAATAAGCTTAACATTTGCCTTATCATTTGATAATTTTGAGCAAAGCTCTCTTTATTATTGTATAAATGTGTACCAAATGGCACTGAATAGTCACAATGCATATTGATGACTTGTATTTATGATGATTCCTCTGATGTAAAGCCATGATAATATTTAAAAAATATAGCATCTTAACATTGACCTTATCATTATGCTAATTAGCTTAACATTCACCTTATCATTTGATAATTTTGAACAAAATTCCCATTATTTTTGTGTAAATGTGTACAAAATGTCACCATATAGTCACAAGACATATTCGATGAGCTATATCTATGATGAATCTTCTGATGCAAAGCCGAAATATTTAAAAAATATAACATCTTAACATTGACCTTATCATTATGCTAATTAGCTTAACATTCACCTTATCATTTGATAATTTTGAGCAAAACTCTCTTTATTATTGTATAAATGTGTACCAAATGGCAATAAATAGTCACAATGCATATTGATGACTTATATTGATAATGATTCCTCTGATGTAAAGCCAAAGTATAGAAAAAAAATATAGCATTTTAACATTGACCTTATCATTATATTTTGTTGTATAATGTTCACTCCCCCCTGGTAAATGTTTTTTTTGCAACAAATAGACTCCTTAAGTAGATAAGTTGAAAATAATGGGAAAATAAAAGTGGCATTTTAACATTCTACTTATCATGTAGTGTGGACGGGGACGGGGACGCGGACGGGGACGGGGACGGGGACGCGGACGCCAAGACTATAGCAATAGCTCTCTTGCACTAAAGTGCAGGCGAGCTAAAAACGGGGGATCCATTGCATTATTTTCCGAAAAACAAAGGTTTTTGTGCGCTAGTGACGATCCAACTTTTTAGGGCAGGGCTTGTATGCTTAGCTTATATGAACACTAAATTAAATTTCTGACGTAGACATCCTTCATATATGTAGACATGCATCTTGTATAGAAGAGATCCTTTATTAATTTATTGATCGTGGGAAGTATACGAACATTAAAAGTTCTTTAATAACGAGGGGGCGCGATTCTTGACAAGCAATGTTAATTGCATTTCAAAGGCTGCGAGGCATCGTTGACACTATACTTCGAAGCAGGTCAAATTTAGTAGCAAAGGCAATCAAGAATTTTTTGTCAGAGATTGAAAAATGTTAGATGCTAAAAAAGTAGAAAAACCATTTGCTACATACAAGTCATTGCTTCTTAATTTAAGGAAAACGAAATGTGTATGTTAGGCGAATTGGATATCCGTAGTGTAAACAGGGACGAAATTCCCGTATACACGGAATTGGTTTCGCTAGACTTGACAACAGACTTTATTAAGGTTCGTGTTATAATACAACTCTTTCTTGGGGTTATACATAAAACATACCCGTATACTAATGTGTATAAACTACAATATGCGTGGTAAAATATAATTATATCCAAATAAAACAACATGATATAAGTTAAATAGTAGCTTCAGTTTGACGTTAATCTTAAAAATTGCATGTATCATTGTACACTGAAGATAATCTATATTCCAGTTTTCGTTACCCAGATGTCCTCACTGCTTTCACAAAATAAAATTGCACTATAGGTAAGGAAACATATATTTTATGCACTTTTGCGAATATAAGTCCGTTCGTTCAGCATTATAGAATTAGTGATCTGAAAACCAATTATATGAGTCGATCCATCATTCTAACAAGTACGATTATATACTACAATATCTTGTAATTTCTTCTATCCTTCGGTATAACGTAAGTCTTTCATGCTTTCAACACTGATCCTGCGATCTTCTAGAACTTTCAATTCTTTGCGACTCTCCTCGTCCATCTCAACCACATTTATATACATTCGCTGCATAAAAATGAAAATTGTGTTTTGCATGAATATAGATGAAACAAAATTCTATTTGCTTTTACACGTGTGTAATATTAAATACTGTATATAAATACACCCCGTGATTCTTTAGAGAAAAAACAATAATTTAACTTGAAAATTTCAATAAAGACCATCTTATTAGACAAATAAGGATCAAACCAGTACATAATTAGAAACATTCTTTCGGACCAACTGATTGCATGAGTGATCTGCATGGATACAGGAGTATAAAGGTGCAGTTTGAGTGCAATATGACTGATTTTGTCCAAAAAAATTTGGAGAGCAATAATCAATAATTCCTTTCAAAGAAAATGAAAAACGAAGTTTTATTACAAATATGTATCTTACGTCATCGGTCTCATCCAACATTTCCTTGACTTCTTCATGGACTTCTTCAAATGATGGCCTGTCTTTCTGATCGTTTTCCCAACATTTTCTCATTATGCCATACCTTGAAATGTATTAGAGCGGAATTGTCAGCGATTATATGCTACAGACAGAAGTACATAAGTGGTTGTCGAAAAGGTGTTGTTTCGGCGTTCAATTTACATTCGCTAGTAAATCATTGGAAATTAAAAAGTTAAACTGAAAAATTATAAATATCGAGTATTTAAACCTACAATACTTGCAACTTACAGTTCTTCTGAGCAATGAGGAGGTCGCTCCATACGATTTCCTGATGTGACAAAGGCGAATGTATCGAATGGGGAGATATCGGGGTATGGCTCCTTCCCTGAAACGGTTTCATATAAAAAAAAATCAATATCAAGTACTGACTCTCTCAGCTCTCAATCTTTTATAGGCCAATTATTTCACCAGTGATTCAGTTTGAACTCTTTCTAAACTGCATTTATGAATCATTACGTTGCTGTGGACAGTCATCAAAGGTCAGACAGCATCATGACTGTTTGCCTAAAATTCAGTGATTGTTCGCGCATTTCGACGTGGTGTACGTGTCATGATGTGTACACGAGTCACCCTGTAAATTAATATATAATAAACATGCATAGTATACCTAATGTTGTGATTTCCCAGAGTACAATACCGTATGCCCACCTTTAAAAAAACAAACACAAAAGAGAAAAAAGGTTTTTCTTATACACCAGAGTTTTGCAGCTGTAACGGTCTAGCTCTGAGGGACGTTAGAGTCATGCGACAGGAAAACAACGACACCTATCTACACGACTAGGAAATTATATAATTACTATTTAAAGAAGCATTGAAATATTACTGTGAGATATTTGCATGTGCGCTATGTGCAGAATAATATAAACCATATTCCTCCCACGTACATGCCGGTTTCCGTCTTGACCCTAATCCGATCAAACATCGTCGATGGATTAGGCTGGTTTTACACCAACTATTAAAACAGCAATAAGTTGTGGAACCAGTGCTGCATGGGCGCAGTTGTTGCCTATTTTCATGTTGCATGCAGATGAGCCAGGAATTGTAGTATTCCATTCAACAATTTGACACGTTCCTGATGACGTAAGACCAGAGGCATGTTCAAGACGTCCTTATTATTTAATAATACACTCGGTATTACCAGTATTTCATCGCTCTCCATATATGGCCGATATTTAGTGAAGTTTCATTTCTGGTCATATACAATACTCACACATCACTTGAAGTTCGAAATATTCCTTGTGTAAGTGATTCAACTGCCATCCATTTCACAGGTAATAAATTCTGAAAAAAAAATTAGAACAGAAAGCTAAAAATATGCCTGTACACATTGCATACCAAAAGCCTGAAAAACGTTTCTAGAGTGTAGTTCTTTTCCAAAAGTCATTCCTAGGCGAGATCTCCGTTTAGAAAAACCCAGGTATGAATCACGATCAATAGTCAAACAAACAACGATGTTAAGATTACGTACTCTGTTTGACTTGACATACATTTGTTCGACCCCAGTGATCGGCCTGGCCAAACCGAAATCAGACACTTTCGCCTCATAGTTGGCTGAAATGAGAATGTTCCTTGCTGCGAGATCCCTATGAACAAACTAATTGCACCAAGTAATTATCAGTAATGAATTGAAATCCAGCATTTATTTGGTCAACGTTTTGGTAACAGAAATACTATTCACAATGCTCGAAACAAAGCACGAAGTAGAAAATAACACAGATTATTATTTATTTAAAATAATTCACAGTTTGTGATTGGCTAATAGCCATGTGTGAAATCGTCATATCCAACGTCATAACGTGTCATACGACTTTTTTTAGTGTGATAAATAGTCGTATCCAACACGTTTGACGTCACACGAATGGCGAAGACATCAACACAATGCCTTCCTCAAGTGAAAAGTTCAGCAACTTTGAGGAATAAATGTTCGTTCTTTTAAATGAATAATAAAACATTTATTGAATTCGGTTTTCACATGATATGAAGAATTATTAAGTCTCAGTTTGTCATTATCAACCTCAGCCTTCGGCTTCGAAACATCAAAAGCTTTGTACTTTATCCTGCTTCCCGACACAAAATTGAATCAGGGTGGAAGTCAAATGAATGACGTTGCAAGAAATTAACGCATGTTTATTACAAACTCGTACCTGACTTGCAGCCAAATGTTTCATTCCACATGCTATATCGGCAGCAATCTGAAGTAGTTTTCTGTGGCTTAATGTTGAAAAAACATTTTTGCATTGTGATATGTCCTCGTTATTGTCATCAGTCAATGACACTCGACTATCTTTTAGTAGATACCGCAGATTCCCACGCGAGCAAAACTCTGTTAATACCATGATAGGTTCTACATTAAAAAGACAATTTTCATCTTCACGAAATCGTTGAAATCGTAATTTTCAATAGGATTAGCCGTTAATTACTATAATTATTATCATATGAATATTTTTCAAAAATACAAATTTGCTATAAAAACAGATTTACGTTGGATAATTTGCAAGTCAACGGTAAGAAAAGGTGAAAATAACTAGTACCATGACAGTATTCAGTTTTTCAATGAAATACCTGCGATGGTATATGCTCCAATTAGTTTTATGACATTTGGATGTGGAGTTTTGTTGACTTCTTTCAAAATAAATAGCTCCATTAAGAGATCCGAGCGGTCTGCCCCCGATCGTGCGTCTTAGAAATATATAAAAATAGTATTATAAATATTCCTATTCCAAGATATCCGTCTCCAGTGTACGGGGACAGCACTTTTATACTCGTATTTTCGCTGCTCCACGGCAAGTCCTACCTGTGAAGCATGGAAAGTTGGATATTTTCCTAAGGCACATTGCGGTACCGAATTATAAACCAATGGAAAGAATTGATATATCACACTAGGCCGCGAAGAGTTTTTTTCGGTAGCTAAGCATTTCTGGATTTGGGTTCAAGTTTGCAATCGACTAAAAATCAATCTGAAAGTCAATTCGGACGTTTCTTTCGACGTCTGCATCGTCGTTTTCCCCCTATTTTTTGGATCTCAGAAAATTCATTCTGATTTCTATTTTCCCAGACAGAGTTACCACAAGGGTAGCGGAAGATCGTTAAGTGTTTCTGGGGTGTGGGGGGGGGGCTTGTAACTAGAAATTTATTCACATTCACCATTATTAGTTTGAATTCTGCTAACATGATTGTGCGAATATAAAAAAGATTTAATTTTGCATATTAATTGATAAAATTAGAAATAAGAAAATATGTTAAAGTAGAAATGTATGATTGTTCTAATTCTATTTCACTGCACTGACATTCACGTGCTAAGTTCGCTTCAGCAGTCGTTTCGTAGTTTAGATACACGTCCAAAAAGTAAGAATTTTTTGCGTAAACCTACTGACGTTATTTTGAGTATATTGCGGCAAAAATTCTCCCCCATGCAGTTCTACCATAAACTGACTGAGCTTTAAAACAACTAAAGCATACTTGGCACACTAATGTCTGTGCTGTGAACTAGACTCTAGAAAAAAGATATTAATTATGTTAAAGTATGTTATACAAATGACTTTTTGTGGTGTACCACCTTAATTGTAAAAACTTTTATAACATGATTACACAGCATAGCTACCTTTTAGCATTTTAACAGCCACAAATTCTTTATCATCCTCTTTCTTTTTGTACAATCCTTTCTTTACAACCCCAAAACATCCTCCACCTAATTTCTTATTTAGAATCGTCAGATCATCCTTTTTGATTTCCCAGTCGTCCAAAACACAAATGTAGGACATGATTTCTAGAAATGTGGAGTCATTTCATTGCGACATTTTACGTTTTTTAAAGCATACATGTACACAATTAAAAATTGTGTCCATTAAAATACGAATAGGATATAAATTTTTGTTCTATTTTGCAAAGCAAATGGGCCACGAGTAACGACAAGGGTAAGCCCCGAATTATAAAACCCAAAAATCATAAGGACTATGTCTAAACAGCGCCAGTTCCTCGGAACAATGATATAGTCTGAAGCTTTGTTTTTTATATAATTTCAAATAAACTAACAACTCTGACGGTAGAGGTGCAATTTCGTGGAATTTTGCTTTGTTTCCTGTATGAGACATAATGGTATATTTTCAGTATTCTTCATTACTTGCCTTCCTCCAGTTTTTCTTCTTTACTATTATGTTCGCGAATGGATGGAAGTCTTCTTCTTGGGGAACTGTCTTCATCTTTGGGGTGCTCAGGAAATAGAATGTCCATGTTGTCTTTAGAGGCTTTTCGAGTTTTGTTTAACTATTGAGAATATGGCCACAAAATCATAATTATCATATAATTCTCCTATCAAACAAAAAACTATTAAATCCTTATGTGTTTTATTAATATTTAATGAGGATTATTTGGAAAAATAGTTTTCAAATATTAATGATGTTGAATTGAAAATGTCAAGTCTATTTACACTTAGTCAGCTATGTTATTCAAAAAATTTCTTTGCATCATTGCTGCCTTGCCCCAGCGAGGCAGCACACTATTCTTGACGAACGGTGGTTTCGCCCCCAGTCCACACGCGCGAGTTATGTAAAGTCGTCGCTCGAAATTTTATTTGTCCGGATTTTAAAACCGGGGGAGTTTTTCATAAAGTTTACATGAGAATTCGGGGGTGCGTCCCGTTTCCCGCTCGTTTTGCCACGCCGTCGTCCAGTCGCCCTTTTCGTTCTTGGTTGCGGCGAAGGCAGTTGGTTTTTTTACAGTAATAGGCATATTAGAGGTGAGTTGGTAAAAATATTTTATATCATCTTTATAGATGTTTGTGACTTGCCAGTTGGCGTATTAAATTAAAGTTTAAATACAGTATTTGAGAATTGCCCATATCGTGGATCATCTTGTATACGACATGGCCACGTTTTATATTTACATATTTTTCGTCTCCATTTGACCATCTGAAATATCTGCCCAATCCTTATTCAATTGCGTGTGGTTTTTGTTGTTTTTTGAAGCAAAATATTCAAAATTACTACCCATTAGTCCATTACTGTATTTTTTTTCGTATATGCCTGGGTTTGGGGCGTCTTGTACAGCATGGCCATATTCATATATTTTACATATTTTTCGTCTTGATTCGACCATCCTGAAATATCTAGCCAATCCTCGTTCAATTGCTTTTGGTTTTTGTTGTTTTGTAAAACAAAACATTCAAAATTACTATCCCTTTCTGTATTTTTTTAAAAAAAGAAAAAAAAATTGGGGGGGCATCTTGTATACGGCATGGCCATCTTTATACAGTCACTAGGTCAAAAGGGGCGTCTTGTATACGGCATCATGTTTTATATTATATATTTTTCGGCCCGTTTCGACCATCCTGAAATATTTCGCGAATCTTCATTCAACTGCTTTTAATCTCGATTCGATCGTGCTGAAATACATGCCCAAACCAGTGATTCAATTGCTTTTCTTTCTTGTTCGTTTGTAAAAGACATCTTCTATACAGCGTGGCCATGTTTTATGATTTAGGCATCCTAAAATACTAACTTTGGTACTTCATATATTAAATAGGAGCCTTTAGAGCTTTGCTTGTACTGTGTTCAAGTTTTAGACTTCCTGAAATATTTCGCGAATCTTCATTCAACTGCTTTTAATCTCGATTCGATCGTGCTGAAATACATGCCCAAACCAGTCATTCAATTGCTCTTCTTTCTTGTTCTTTTTGAAGCAAGATATTCAGAATTACTACCCTTCGTGGACTTCGTTTGTAAAAGACATCTTCTATACAGCGTGGCCATGTTTTATGATTTAGGCATCCTAAAATACCAATCTTGGTACTTCATATATTAAATAGCAGCCTTTAGAGCTTTGCTTGTACTGTGTTCAAGTTTTAGACTTCGTCCTCTTATGCATTCTTGATACTGTTTTTTTAGGATAATTTGAAATTGAGGGCCATCATGGAAAACAGTAAGAAACGTTTTCTACTTATAATAGAATTCAATCTATTTACTTTACTTCACAGTACTATTATGGGCTGATTGCATGGAGAGTTTTTATATTTGACTGGTGTATCCGTTGAATTCAAAAGGAGTTATACCATAGGCAGCCCAACAATCTGCATGCCGTGACATATATCATCTGTGTATATATAATATATACACAGATTATATGTCATGGCGAGCGGATTGTTGGGCTGCCTACAGGTTTTCATTTATGCTATTACTAGGACCTTTATTATTCAAATTTGGCTTTCACTTGAAATTTTTGCACACAAATGTCAATTTTTGAAATACAGCCTGCTATGACGATTGTTCTTGTGTTATTGAAAACATTGGTATTGTCTTTACAACCAAATCTTACTTTAATGCAAATATGTTCTACTGTATGTGCATTAAAGTGTGACTTGGTCATAATGACAATATAGCATAATGGAAAACCTGCATAACTGCTATTGTGCTGACTGATGTGCATAAAACTAAAACCTAACAATCATTTTAAACAAATATATTTTATTAGGGATCAAACAGAAATAAGGGAGGAGGGATGAAAAACAACAACTCAGCCCGGATTTATTTTATACTGATTGAGCTACATATCACATTATTTACTTAATTTAGAAAAAGAGATCGTCTGTTATGTGCATGATGTTCTGGCCATCCAGAAAGCTGGCAAAGTTAATTATACAACTTGCAACCTCCAAACCACTCCAGATACAAAAGTGAAAGCTGTTTGCTTTTCGCCAGAGAAAGTTGCACCGTTAAGAAAGGCCATGGAAAATAGAAGCCCAGTAAAAGTTCAAAGATTCGAATACAATGACAAATTTAACAATATTGTGATAAAAAAGTCTACAACAGTTACAGATCATAATGGGCCATTGTCCTTTGCCCCTACAGAGTCACCACAAGTCCATTGGTTACCATATCTGTGATTAAAACAACATCAGTTAACCAGTTATTTTGCTAAAAGCCAAGGTAAAATTAGCAGCTTTAAAAGTGGTGAAGATGGAAACGGGTTCAGTTAAAAAACGTACTGCATTCTACAAGACCCATCTGGAACAATCAAGGCCATTCTTTGGGAAGAATGGGTCGAAAGCGTTGAAGATGAAAAGACCTACCTATTCCAAAACTTAAGGGTGAAAAAAGACAATTATACAAATGAAGTTTATGTCAACACAGCAAAATATGGTTTCAGTGTCAAAGAGTGTGCCTCCTTTCATGAACAGTTGCCAGATGTTGGCCCACCTATAACTGATTTAGTTGCAAAACAGGCAGTTGTGTCCATCATTGGGGTTAAGAGCCTAAGTAAGTACAAATCCTGCAATGCCTGTGGAAAGAAGATTGAGGGTCAGGGCACAGTGAACACTGTCAGGTGCGAGTCATGTAAGATGAAGCAACGAGTATCACAGGAAAATACAATGTGGTATGCTCGGCTGTTTCTACAGAATGTTGAAACAAAGGAAAAGTTTTACGTCACCGTTTTCCACACCATGTTCATCAGAATCTTGGAGGTAAATAAGATTCAAATCACGCCTGAAGACGACGAAGAAGCCATTTCAGATCGACTGCTAGATTGTAACAATATTACAATTACTTATAATATTGGTGAAGGTAAAATTATTGATGTACTCAATTCTATTTAGTGAATTCAAAGAGACCTGTAGACCAATACTGGACTCATTCTTATAACCATTCCCTATTTCTAAATTAAGTTTTGTTTGTTAAAGTTCTTTGGTATAGACATTCGTATATATACCATATATAGTATAATGAACTTGGCACTTATTGGACAAGATGTAAACTTAAAAGACATTAGTAAAATAATATATATATAGTTTGTTGAAATTTAGGTTTAAGAGGTTAAAACATTTTAGTAGACTAATATGTAGTTTCAATTGTTGTTAGAGGTTATGAACACATGGTTTATTTTAATTTTCCAGATAAACTTCCAAAAGAACATTTTATTCATTGTGAATGTCAGTATGTGTCAAAATGCAAAATAATTTATGGGGGAATTGTCATGTTAATTGGAATATTAAACATGATATTGATTTCCCCCCCCCCAAAATTGCATGTTTTAAACTACACTAGAACTTACCCAATGGTTAAAAAGGTATAGCCAAAATGCACATGCCTATAATATAGAATGATCAGGATACAGTGCATTGTACTCATCTTCTCACCTTCAAAGTAAATGTTGGGAGGTGGCAAACATTTCAAGTTTACACATCATTTAGACATGTAGCACCCTGACACTGTCCCACCCTCTTTTTTAATAAATTCATGTACCTTTCATATAATGAAATCTTTAAAAGGTATATTTACACCAGTATTCACACCCTACTACTTATCTTCACACTATATAGAAATAATATGCCTGTATAAAGTAAAAAGCTTTTGTGCAGCATAATTTTATGGCGCATCCTCGCCTGACTTCCTTTAGGTAGCCAAAAAGCACTTGTGTCCAGTTACATATTGCGGCCTGTTAAAAGCACTTGTGTCCAGTTACATATCGCGGTCTGTTACGTGCATGCGTAACAGACCGCAATATGTAACTGGACACAAGTGCTTTTTGGGCTAAGTCCGAAATTTGCGCATTCACAATTCACAAAATCGTGTCAAAATATATCGGAGACGGACAACGTGACTGACGTATTTACTAAAGTAAAGAAACTGAAATTCAGATGCACAGCTAGCACAGGTATTTGACTATTTGTAAAGTATTTAGTATTGATCTGTTTAGTAACTTCAGTTCATAAATCACAATTGTCAAATGTCTTTACACGTTTGCGGGAGTATTCATCAAGGACATGAACAATTTAGTATTCATTCTCGTGGAAGACAATGCTCTTTTATGAGTTTATCGGCTCTATTAACAGCAAGAAATATCCCAGATCCATTAGAGTGGAACTCGACAACAATCGACAATGTCTTAAAGCAAGGCGACAATATGTATTTATTGGCTTTAAGAAATGGGCAGATTCCGCCAGTTAGCTTTCTATCAGTGAAGGATTTACCTTCCTTCATTGAGTGTCGTTCGTTTGTAACAGACAAACATTTCAAATTACATGTCATTGATCTACCTACTGTCGTAAAGCCCATTGAGGCACAAAATATCATTGATCCACCCCTTGTGGTGGCGCCCATCGAGGCACAAAATATCATTGATCCGCCCATTGTGGTGGAGCCCATTGAGGCACAAAATATCATTGATCCACCCCTTGTGGTGGCGCCCATTGAGGCACAAAATATCATTGATCCACCCCTTGTGGTGGCGCCCATCGAGGCACAAAATATCATTGATCCGCCCATTGTGGTGGAGCCCATTGAGGCACAAAATATCATTGATCCGCCCATTGTGGTGGAGCCCATTGAGGCACAAAATATCATTGATCCGCCCATTGTGGTGGAGCCCATTGAGGCACAAAATATCATTGATCCACCCCTTGTGGTGGCGCCCATCGAGGCACAAAATATCATTGATCCGCCCATTGTGGTGGAGCCCATTGAGGCACAAAATATCATTTATCCGCCCATTGTGGTGGAGCCCATTGAGGCACAAAATATCATTGATCCGCCCATTGTGGTGCAAAGTGAAGGAATATACTCTACTCAAGTTTGGTTTATAAACTATGGAAAAGATCGTCAAGGACTTGTAAGAAATGAGCATAAAGTGGAACCTCATTACTATACACTTACTTCAGCTTTGACTAAAACTTTCATGCATGACAAGTATGCTCTTTTAATATTAGAGGGCTATATGATGGCTTTGATGAAAAGTCTAGATTCATTTTTTTATATTTTTGACTCTCATGCTAGAAATTTTGCTGGCCTGCCAGATCCTAATGGTACTGCTGTTATTATGAAATTTTCATGTCTCAATGAATTAGAAAATTATTTATGCTTATTGTCAACTGAACTAAAGACTAATTTATTTGAAATAGTTCCAGTTCGATTTTATGTTAGCTGTAATGATAAAAAAAGATGTAGAGAGACTGCATCTATGAAGCAAAATAGATTACAAAAAGCTACAGAGTATAAGAAAAGAAAGAAAGCAGAAGAAACTGAAACAGAAAAACAGATCAGACTTGAAAATTCTAGAATGTATAAAAAAGAAAACGGTCAAGTGAGACTGAAGTTCAAAAAAAAATAAGACTTAAAAATGCTAAAAACTATCAAAAATTAAAATTATCGAAAGTATCTTGTACTAATCAGCAACCTGAAAAAGATAATTTAGACCAGGAGGATTATTTGAAAGTATTTGACAAAAAAAATGGTGGTATTGAAAGTCAACATTGGGCAAAAGTTAATATAAAAAATTTCCATAAGTCTGTACAATACTTTACTAGCCAATGCACAGTTTGCCAAGAGGCATGGCCATTAAGATCTAAACCAAAGTCACCCAGCAACTATGTGTGCTCACGTTGTTCTAGAGACAAGAAATCTCCCAAAAAGTTTTCATTTCAAAATTCAATGATCCCATCTCCAATCCCACAGGAGTTACAAGATTTGACTCAGATTGAGGAAATGTTAATTGCACGGGCTCTCCCAATCATGAGAGTTTACATAAAACCCGGAGGACAACGAGGTTACTCAGGACATTGTATCAACTTACCACAACAAGTAAAAGAACTTGCAACATCGTTACCGAGATATCCCAGGGAGTTATCTGTGATTATTGTCAAGGTCAAAGGTAAAGATAATACATTTAAAGATGTAACTGTTAGACGGCAAAAAGTACACAATGCATTATTGTGGCTTATACGTAACAATCATCATTATGCTGAGTTAGAAATTAATGAAAATGCATTAAACTCTTTACCTGACGATGGTATTCCATCAGAGCTATTAACTGTTGAGACTGAACATGAAATTTCAGATGATAATAGTGAACCTGATTTAGGCCCTCCCACTGAAAACTCTTCAGAGGATAGAGTTTATAATGACTCAACTGAAATGAGTAGTTTTTTACCTGTTGGTCAGCAACAGGAACAAGAATTGGAAGCAGTCAGAAATCAGCTTTCTGCAAATGACCCAATTGCCTGGCCTACTGTTGAAAATGAGCCATTAAACGAATATCAGATATCTCACCTTGCCACTATGGCTTTTCCAACATTGTTTCCTGATGGGAAAGGGGATCCCACTAATCAAGCCCTGTTAAGAGATGTTCCTTTTCAAGATAGAATTAAACATCTTTTGAAATTTGCTGAAATTATTGATGGTAAATGGATTTACCGTTTTGCAAATCACCCTAGATTTTCATACTGGGCTTTTAATATGATACAAAGAAAACGAATTTTACAGCAAAGTGGAATATTCCTTAAACAAAATCCAGGTGAAGCACATCTCACCATTGATGAACTGCGTGAAATGGCTGCCAGTAATAGTGCTAATGTGTTCATGTCTAAAGTTTCTAGATACGTTGCGAATATTGCAGGTACAAATGCTTACTGGAATACAGTTCGAGAGGAACTTAAAGCCATCATTACAAATGTTGGAGCACCAACATTATTTTTTACTTTTTCCTCTGCAGATATGCATTGGCCTGAGTTACATGCCTTATTTAATGCTAATAGTAATAGTGAAAATGCTAACATTTCCAGTCAAGTCAGACGACAAAATGTTATTAATAATCCACATCTTGTAGACTGGTTTTTTACCCAAAGATTAGAAAGCTTTGTAAAACATTGGCTTTATGAAACACTTGGAGCAAAATGGCACTGGTTTAGATATGAATACCAAGGTAGAGGTAGTATTCATTGTCATGGTACTGCTAAACTAAATAATGACCCAGGTTTGTGTCAACTAACTCAAACTGCTTTGAAAGGTTTCTTAGCTCAAAAATTTAAAGATGAGAATGATTGTTCTGATACAACAGAATTAGACAATGATATTGAAGCTGGTCAGGAAGCAGCTGAAACAGTGTGTAAGTATGTTGACTGGTTATTATCAACTGTCAATCCAAATCCACCAGATGAAAACATCTGGGTAAGACCTGAAACTCATCCATGTCAAAGAAGTCATATTGACATTCCTGAACATGAGAAACAGTCAGATTATGTAGATCTGTTAAATATGGTTCAACGACACACTCGTTGTAGTACTAGCTATTGTCTAAGAAAAAAGTCAAATGAGACTGAATTGAAATGTAGATTTCATTTCCCATTTGATAATTGTCCACAGACAAAATTAGAATTTGAAAAAATCCACACTTCAGGTGATAATGAACATTATAAGGCCAAAATTGTGACTAAACGAAATGATTCTAGGTTAAATAATCACCAACAACTTCAACTCCAAGGATGGAGAGCAAACTGTGATATTCAGGTTGTTATCGATCACTATGCTTGTGTTGAATATCTCACAAAATATGCAGCTAAAGGAGAACCAAGGTCGCCTTTATTGAAACAGGCTTTTAATTCTATTATGCAAAATGTTGACAGCAACACTGATCCTCACAGAGCTGTTAAGAAAATAGTTATGAGATCTCTTGGTGAACGAGATTATGCTGCTCAGGAAACAATGCATCATTTGTTGTCTTTAAAACTTCATAGCTCATCGTTTAAAGTGATATCAGTTAGTTTAAATGGTTCACGTAGAGTACGTGACACTGCAAGTATTGAAGAACGTGATTCATGCACTGATTACTCACTTCTTGATGTGTACGCTAATCGTGAGCAATATGACAGTTCACAAAATATTATGAATATGAATTTTCTTCAATTTGCTACAACTTATAAAGTTGTTAACAATGAACTGACGAGATTACCAGAGAATGTTATACCTAGAATATTCCCAACTTATTCTCCTAATCCCAAAGGTCCTAAATTTGGACTATATTGTAAGTATCAACTTTTGAGATATAAACCCTGGAGAACAACGCAAAACAATGCGTGGGGTGACCAAGAACCAACTGACGAGGTTCTAATCAATTCTTGGCATGAATTCTTGCAAACACCCTATGGACAATCTAATGTTCCAGACTGGTTTGACAAATTACAAGCTGTTATCCAAAGTCAAGAACCAGAAGATGGACCTTCTGAAGAACAGGACGTAACTCGAGAAGAGTGGATGATATTATCAGACCTTCACACTCCTTTTGATAACCCTGAACAAGCACCAGAATCAACATATGACTGGCATCTTGATAGAAGCAATTATTCAGAACAACAAATCAATGAAATGCCAACATGGATAAAAACAAACAAAGAGGAATACACTATTAATGAGCAATATGTGTTGTTGACGTAAACAGTTTTAGTGAAATGCAAAAACTTGCTTTTGACATTGTCAAGTCTCATTTTGACGATACATCATCTGAAAAAGAGCCATTATGTCTAATTATCAATGGTGTTGCAGGGACGGGTAAGAGTTACCTTATTAATGCTCTTAGAAATCTTTTGCAAAGTAAATGTGCTATTACTGCTACCACCGGTAAAGCAGCCTATAACATTAAAGGTGTAACTGTGCACTCTCTGTTAAAGTTGCCTATAGGGTCAAGAGGTAATAAAGATCTAACAGGACAAAGCCTGTGTAGATTACAAGAGAGTGTTAATAATATTGAATATATCATTATTGATGAATACTCAATGCTTGGCCAAGTTACTTTTGGTTGGTTAGATAAGCGTTGCAAACAAGCAACTGGTTATAATGACAAAGTATTTGGTGGAAAAATCATTGATTTTAACTGGAATCCAGGTCAATTGCCACCAGTGGCAGACAAGCCTCTTTTATCTGCTAAACCATCAAATTCTGTTGGCGAACAAGGTTATCAAGCATACTCTATGTTTGACAAAGTTGTTAAGCTCACTATTAATCAACGTGTGCAAGGTATGACATCTGAACAAATACGTTCAGAGATTTATTGTTACGACTTCGCAAAGGTGAGTCAACAGTCGACGACTGGAAATTACTTCTAACTCGTCAACCATCGAATGTCACTAACGTATGCGACTTTGAAGACGCTACTAGACTCTTCTATAGCAATGAACAAGTTGCAAATTACAATAATGAACAACTAACAAAACTTGAGGATCCAATTGCTCATATTAATGCTCGCCATTCCTCTCCATTGGCCAAAAAGATGTCTCAGATGATATGTCTGGGTTGGAACCTGTTACATTTCTAGCAAAAGGTGCTAGGGTTATGTTAACCATGAATTTGTGGTCAAGTGTTGGCCTCTGTAATGGAGCTACTGGAACAGTTGTTGATATTGTCTATCAGAACAACCACCAACCACCTGACTTGCCTATTGCAGTCATTATTGAGTTTGAGAACTACAGAGGTCCTGTTTTTAATGTGAACAAACCATCTTGTGTTCCAGTGTGTCCAATCACAGTCTCATCACAGTCAGAAACAAGTTTTCATGAGCGGCAACAGTTGCCTCTAAGACTCGCCTGGGCTCTAACAATACACAAGAGCCAAGGACTTACTCTTCCAAAAGCTTGGATAGATATTGGCAAATCAGAAAGAACTGCTGGAGTTTCATACGTTGCCATTAGCAGAGTGAGATCGCTTTCATCTTGCGTCATTGAACCCATGACATATGAACGATTAACAAGCTTGAAATCATCAGCTAATTTACAATTCAGGCTTGAGGAAGAAAACCGCCTAGATCGTTTAGCACAGACTACCAATAACGGTGCATTTTAAATTGGCAAACCATAAAGTTTGAAATCAGACATGGGATTCTGTTATGGATCCCATTACGCTTTATTCTGTGTGTTAACCTTATTCTGTAACTTTGCATGTCATTTAATCAATTTTATAATTATGTCACTGTATGTGTGAAAATATCATCATCAAGACGATATACGGTAAGTTTTTTATTTTGTTTCTATACTTCACTCCCGCTTTACGACATTTCATTGGGCTAGGGCTATTGTAGTGTATTCTAAAAATTATGTTCTTTTGTCTTGTAGATACCTACTTCTGGATAAAAATATGAAAGAGCAAGTGGATTAGCAAATACAACCGCGTTAGTTCGCACTGTTTGCCAAAAACATTGGAATTTAACCTGTTCAAACAATTGGATGACAGTCAATAACGAAAACACTATGAATGCGCGATACAACTACAGTATGATGTGCACTCATCTTTCGAAGAAGATTCTTGCAGGAAAGTGAAGAAACATTATTTTACGTGGAAAAGGAGTTATAGATTAATGCAAGAAAAGACGTGTGTACACTATACTATTATCTGTCACTCCTGTGCTATCATTGAACAACCTAACCAAATTCATGTAGAGTCGTGGACCTGGTATTTCCAAATAACGTTAATTAATTTGTTATTGACAGTGTTCTACTACAAAAACATTGATCAAAGAAAGAAAAAAACTAATTCTCAAGCAATAAACAATTTTATATTGAAGAGATTTTAGGGTGCAATACGATAATTACCACTTTCCAGAAGAGGTTAACCTATGGGATTAACGAACAGTTCATCAAGTAATCCATATGAACTAATGGTATATACTAAATATGATAAGAAGAACTTAAAGAGAACTGTTTTCAAGCATTCGTAGTTTAAACCTCAGACAAAATAAACACATACAGTGTTATCCTCTTTTTTGTTATGATGTGACGTGTGTTATGTATAATGTTAATTAATGTAATGTGATATAATGTAATAAATCTGATATGTAATGTGACGTGTGTGATGTGTAATGTAAACTAATATAACGTAATATAATGTAATGTAATGTAATGTGTGATGGGTAATGTTATTTTTCTTGGTCTATTTATATAAAATTATACTTCGAAAAACGGGAGGTCTCGAAGGACAAACTTCCTATAGAAAAATTTCTTATTCCAATCATGTTTGATATATTCTAATTAAGAATTTTCTTATGTAATAAATTGTCGTGAAAACTAGAAGACCACGCGTATTGGTTTATAGACCACTAGCTATATAGACATGCACTGGCTTCGTATCGTCACTCATGGATAGCATGACTGTACGTCACTACCTTTACCAATGACGCACATCAAGACTTTAATTAAACGTAAAATTGTATGAGTACTCATTTACCATACAATTTTGCATCAAGTTTATACGTCTTTAAGGCAGCATTTTCCTTGCGATAGTAACTCCTAGTTTTAATAATTACTCCGGCTCCAGCGACGGAGTGAAAATTCGCCTCAGCTTTTTTTTCTTTCTCGTCGTCGCAAGGGTGTTATGGCGCGAAATATATACTGCATGTGTATGTGACCGTATTTATCTACGTCCCAGTCTTGTCTCTCAAGACTTGTGGTGCACAGCTTTGGCTAATTTTCTGATGCGCGATTCGATTTCGCTCCTATGTTACGTTAGTTTCTCCAGGAGGAACAAATAAACCGTTTTTTTCATGCTGTTGGATTAAGTTAGATTGAATTGGCTATATAAGATTATATTTAATACATGTAGATTCTGGTCCTATTTTAATAATATCGCTGCTATTTCGCCTTTGGTGGTCGTGTACAACCTTGCGCTTGCTTTTTTTCAGCTGAACTCTCTACTAGAAATACATGCATGCAGCAACCGCTCGCCATTTTAAACGAAGCAAAATATTTCGTGCGCTACTCACACCTAACTTTCTACGCTAATATTATGAAATAACTCGTGCAAATTTTTCGGAAACAAAGACAGACGTAAAGGTGAACAGAAATCACCTGTTTGTCTGCTGCATTACGTTGCAGTTTAAGTGAGTGTTAAACTTTCCTATTGCTAAACCTTCAAAATATCAAAACAGCACTAATCATTATAATAATCTTACAAGCACTAAACGTCGAATGTTGCTTTTCGATTATTTATTTCATTCAAAGATTTTAGTGACTATATAAGCTGCAAAGTGATATTTGTTTTATCAAAACTCTTTTGAGAATAAGTACACTTTTGAGAACTCTTTTTAAAGTTTAAGCGATGATGTAAAGCCTTGTAAAACGACAGGTTGGTTAGCTCCTTGTAAAACGACATACCAAGCTCGTACTTGTCAAAAAAACAATGCATTCTCTCAGCAAACACTGAATAAGCAAAATATAGACACCTGCAACTTCAAAGATTATAAACTACGAGTCGTTCCTATTTCACCAACTGTTTCTGTGCTGTGATGATCTTTAAATCTGTTATCCCCGAGCGGGCGCGGAGCGCCTACGAGGGTACTAATTCCGCTCGGAGATTAGGAATTACACCCGGAACATGGTAAAACATAGGCGAATCCAAAGTTGTCCAAATTCTTTGTCATTGACGGTCGACGTTGGGTGGTTTTGTAAGTTATGCGCATGCACGAGTAACGTCTCGTAATCAACGAACGTTCTGATTGGCTCAGACAGAAAATTTGTATTGCAATGAGAACGTCAGCAATTTAACTGTCATTTCGTAAACATTGTTGTATACGTAAAAGCGTTTCATAAACTTTGTGCAACCATGGATAATAGGGAGGTTAAGATCGACTTCCGCTACGAGTACCGATACCAATATTCAGTCACGCGCATGCGCAGACGTAACAATCGTCCAAAATGTGATAACACCGGAAGTCGCGAGTACCGTTTTGGGGCTGAAAATGGAAGTGGATAGGTAGGCGAAGTACCGAATTATATTTACTGTATTATTGCATTTCCTGCAGTTTTTTCTAATAATATCATTTAGTTTTTAGTTGTGTAATGTTTCTGCTTTGTTTGATAAGACTTAAGAATTGTGATCAGAGTTTTTGATGTGAATATAGCCGCTATACTCCGCCGTGTTTATTTACTTCTTACGGAAGTCACAATCTTAACGCTTTAAAGTTTCCGCGCTGCCAAACAGTAATACGTCATGTATTTTTGTATCGGTACTGGTAGTGGAAGTAGATCTTAACTTCCCTAATAAAATCACTGGATAGGAAACTATAGTTACGTGGGGTGCATAGAAACATTTTGATTGGTCGAAACCCGTTTTTGATGTTTTTAAAATGGCTGAAACCTTGTTGAAAAATCTGATGTCACGGATGGCGAATATTTACGTAAGTAGCATTGATTTCCTTATGTTTTTGACTGAGATTTTTTCAAATTTTCACCTTTGTTTGGTTTGTGTAACATTTTCTTATTTTTTTTCTTTTTATCGGATGATATGACCTAGCCTACGCCACACATCAATAGTCAAGGTACGTCTAAACGTTGTTTGTTTACAAAAGAATTGCTTCATTTTTGCGAAAAACGCGTCGCAAAATAGTGTGTTTTTCGTTATTTTTACTGTCTGTTCTTGTCTAGAAGCAGCTAGAAGCAATACAAAGTCATATAGAATTTTCATTGATTTTTAATTATTTTTGCATTTTTAGACTTTTCAAATAACCTGAAGGGGAATAATAGAGTTGGCAAGAGAGAGAAAGTACTCTAAATTCAAAGTTTAAAAGATTAAATTGGCTGTTTTTGCATGCTTTTTTACATGTCAAGTTTTTATTGATTTGAATTCTAATTAATCTGTTAATAATTTTAATAATTTTTCTTGCATACTAGTTGAAATGGCTAAATTTGGAAATAATTTTATTACATGCAATGACAATTGTTTTACATTATATTGTAACATGGATAGTTAAAAGACTTTATTATCCATGATTGTAAGTATATTAAATAAGTTGTAGTGTGATTTTTATTATAAATAAAAGATTTCATTTCAATACTGAATATCTAATGTACTTTAATTGTGTAATATTTGTATGCAATTTCACCTGTTATGTCCTGGAACATGACACAATTTATACTATGCTCAAACAACAGAAAAATAGTCAAATAATACTTTTAGAGAAACCAGAAATAAAAATATTAACTTTTGGAAATGTAGACAATAAAGTTTATTTTATACACAAGGACGAAATAGCTCAACAAGATAAAACTTGCAAGATTCAAAAAAATATTCAAAAACACATTTATGTGGCACAGCTATTGCACATTAATGCCTTTCTGATGCTGTCCTTGCCATGTAGATCAAGAACATTTAGTTAGTCTCTGACAAAGTTTCTTTATATTTCTTGTGCTCTTTATAAACTTTAAGATAAACCCATTTATAATTTTATAAAAATCAATCACAGAAGTTGTTTTAATATTCCAAGAAGACCTGATCAACTTGGCGCGACTTGAGGCAAGCAGCAAGCTATATCATGCGTGACGTCACGATTTTCAACAAGGTTAAAATGCTGACGCCATGAGTTTCCTATCCAGTCTTTTAACTATCCATGGTGCAACGAAAGTAAAACGAGAAGAAACAAGATACAGTATATGAAGCATGACAGATAGCAAAGATGAACGTGGATACAGTCAAGACAAAGCCATGTAAGAGGAATAATTCATAATCTGCAAGCTTATAAGTGTTTGCAAAGACAAAGGGTTGGTGTTTACTTCGTTTATTTCGTATTTGTTTCGCGGTAAGGATGAGCTGTATTTGTATACTTTTCAGCTTTGTATGACGTTTATTTGTTAAATTTTCAGCTTTTTTTGCAAACGCATAAACCTGTGAAAGGCTATTACACCTTTCCTTTAACTTCAAAAAGTGTTTTTGAAAGTGTAATTTGAATTTTGGTATCAAAAATACACACTATATTTATATAAAACTTTTACCCGCCAGCGTCGACTGCAATTACAGAATAAAATAACATTTGAAGTTTTGCTTGGTCTGTGAAGATTTTGCACTGTTTTAATCGT